TAAGATTGAAGAAGTGAAGAGTTGGGCAAGACCTACTAATGTTACAGAGGTAAGGAGCTTTGTCGGTTTAGCTAGCTACTACCGTCGATTTGTCAAGGGATTTTCTTCTATTGCTTCCCAATTGACAAACTTGACTAAGCAGAGTGTTCCATTCGTATGGTCGGACGAGTGTGAAGAAAGCTTTCAGAAGCTCAAAACCTTGTTGACTACTGCACCAATTCTTACCCTGCCAGTGGAAGGTAAGAATTTCATTGTTTATTGTGATGCATCCTATTCTGGTTTGGGTGCAGTGCTAATGCAAGAGAAGAATGTAATTGCTTATGCTTTGAGGTAGTTAAAGGTGCATGAACTTAATTATCCGACCCACGATTTGGAGTTGGCTGCGGTAGTGTTTGCATTAAAGCAATGGAGACATTATCTATATGGGGTTAAATGTGAAGTCTATACGGATCATCGTAGTTTACAGTATGTCTTTACTCAGAAAGATTTGAATTTGAGACAGAGGAGGTGGATGGAACTACAGAAGGACTATGATATCACTATCTTGTATCATCCGGGAAAAGCTAATGTTGTGGCAGATGCGTTAAGTAGAAAAGCAGGGAGCATGGGAAGTCTAGCTCACTTGCAGGTTTCTAGACACCCATTGGCTAGAGAGGTTCAGACTCTGGCTAATGACTTTATGAGGCTAGAAGTAAATGAGAAGGGAGGATTTTTGGCCTGTGTGGAGGCAAGATCTTCCTTTCTTGACAAGATTAAGGAGAAGCAGTTTACTGATGAGAAACTGATCCGGATTCAAGATAAGGTATTGCGAGGAGAGGCTAAAGAAGCAAAAATCGATGAGGAAGGTGTTTTGAGGATTAAGGGAAGGGTATGTGTACCCCGTGTCGATGATTTGATTTACACCATTCTTACAGAGGCTCATAGTTCAAGGTATTCTATACATCCCGGTGCAACAAAGATGTATCGCGATATAAAGCAACATTTTTTGTGGAGTAGAATGAAGCGGGACATTGTTGATTTTGTTACTCAATGCCCGAATTGTCAGCAGGTAATGTATGAACACCAGAGTCCTGGAGGGACACTTCAGAGAATGCCCATTCCTGAATGGAAGTGGGAGAGAATTGCAATGGACTTCGTGGTTGGTCTTCAAAAGACAATGGGTAAGTATGACTCTATTTGGGTGATTGTTGATAGGTTAACTAAGTCTGCTCACTTCATTCCGGTTAAGGTGACTTATAATGCAGAGAAGTTAGCCAAACTCTACATCTCAGAAATTGTTCGATTGCATGGGGTTCCACTCTCCATCATATCAGATAGGGGTATGCAGTTTACTTCTAAGTTTTGGAAAACATTGCATGCTGAATTGGGTACTAGGTTGGATCTTAGTACTGCATTTCACCCTCAGACCGATGGTCAGTCTAAGCGAATGATTAAGGTTTTGGAGGATATGCTTCTTGCATGTGTGATAGAGTTTGGTGGTCATTGGGATAACTTCTTACCCTTAGCAGAGTTCTCATACGAAAATAGCTATCACTCAAGTATTGATATGGCCCCATTTGAGGCACTGTATGGGAGAAGATGTAGGTCTCCTATTGGGTGGTTTGATGCATTCAAGGTTAGACCTTGGGGTACTGACCTTTTGAGGGAGTCGTTAGATAAAGTGAAATGCATTCACGAAAAGCTTTTAGGGGCTCAAAGTAGGCAGAAAGAATATGCAGATCGAAAGGTTAGAGACTTGGAGTTTATGGACGGTGAGCAAGTCTTGCTGAAGGTTTCACCCATGAAAGGGGTGATGCGGTTTGGTAAGCGAGGTAAGCTTAGTCCGAGGTATATTGGTCCATTTGAAGTTCTGAAGCGCGTGGGGGAGGTAGCTTATGAATTAGCCTTACCCCCAGGACTGTCAGGAGTGCATCCAGTATTTCATGTGTCTATGTTGAAAAGATACCATGGGGATGGAAACTATATCATTCGTTGGGATTCAGTTCTTCTTGATGAGAATTTGACTTATGAGGAGGAGCCTGTTGCAATTTTAGATAGGGAAGTCCGCAAGTTGAGGTCAAGAGAGATTGCATCCATCAAGGTTCAATGGAAGAATCGGCCAGTTGAAGAGTCCACTTGGGAGAAGGAGGCTGATATGGAAGAAAGATACACACACCTGTTTTCAGATCCAGGTACTCCTTTTCGCACTTGTTTTTCTTCTTGTGATCGTTCGGGGACGAACGATGGGTAAATTGGTATCCATTGTAACGACCCGTTTGGTCGTTTTGAGCAGTAGAATTTATTATGGTAATAACTGTCTGGTCGACGGATCCCAAGGATTTAAAGATACCTAATTTACCACATTGCATAAAGGATTGCTATTATTAGGTTTACTGCACTATGAGTTTATGGGGAACACTTATTCCCTAGTTTCTTTAACATCTTGATAACAACTAAAGTTTAAAATCTTGCTCACTAATTATTTACTTAATTTTCCAAATTTTTTTCACAAATCCCCCCCTTTCAAATTACTTGTTTCTGCAAATACATTGGATAAACGAATATAATTGTTAGTTAAGTTTTAGTCGAAACCATTTTCCTCGTGGGATCACCCCCAACCTACAACTTGGGTTCTTTACTTGATAACGATCGTTTATACATTTGTGGGGGGGGGGGTTAATTTGAGCGTATCACCCATAGGTTTGCCCTTATTTTCCAATCAACATTCGTTTCAGCTCACTCAAGATCAAAAAGGTCTTTTCAAGGATTATAACGGGGCTAAGTGTGAATGTATTTCATAAAGGCTCAATGGTTTCTACCCTCATGAAATTTGTCCTAAACATCTCTTTTCTTCAGCATTTTTAATCCATTATTAAACTTCCAATGGAAAATCGGAAATCCCATATCTTTTGACACTTTCACAACTTTATTTCACAACCTTTTCATTCTTTTTTCTTTTTCTTTCTTCTTCTCTGTCTCTTTATATATATATATATATATATATATATATATATATATATATATATATATATATATATATATATAT